GGAAGTTAGAGTTAGTTATTTGGACTCTTATTTAAGCTTTCATTATTTCCTAGTTGAGTAGATTTTGTATCTTTGAATCCATTCCTACTGGTTTACACCAAGCTTACTGTGATAGATCTAAGCTTCGTTTGAACATGCTTTGAAGAGAAATTTATTTGGTGGATTGGTTTTCGTTCTTCACTGGTTTTGGTTTTTGGAGAAACATGGACATTGGTATCTGTTGGCTTGAAGTTGGAGGCTTCTGTAAAGTTTTTTCTAAGTCATTAACTGATTCCTTCTCACTATTTTGGGTGTTGGTTTTGTTCTCTCCAGCCAATCAGTCTGCGGATTGACGTTTGTTTTGGATTCTTTCAACAGGCGTTCTTCTTTGTCCTTGCATATTATGTAGCTGGAAGCTTTCAAGACCTCTGTTTTTATGAAATAATCAAAGATTGATGGTTTAGGTTTTCAAGGAGTTTTTATTCCTTTTTTCCTCATTAAAAATTAACAGGGGACTTTTGGAATTCGCAATGGATTCAGCATTAGAAGGTGTCTTTTGGAGTTGAGAGGTCATCGGTGCTTGGAACTAGGGGTGAGCAAAGCACCCCGAAAAACCAATTCGACCGACGAAAACCGACCGAACCGATATCGGTCGGTCGGTTTGGTGAAGATGTCGGTCGGAGTCGGTTTTTTATTTATAAAACAGATCTGTTAGTCGGTCGGTTTGGTCGGAAAAATAATTTCCGACCGAAGTCCGAACCGACCAACATATGTTATTTAATTATAAAAAAAATAAAAAGGGGCAGATTGCTGCTGGAAAACCAGCGGCTGCCACTGGTTCTGCCGCTGGTTTTCGAGGTACATTTAATAAAAAAATTCTTTTTTTTTTAATTATCTTTATTCCTCTCTTCTTTCCCATTTCATTTTTACTTCTCTCTCATCTTTATTCTTTCTTCTTCTTCTTCGTTCCATCTCCTTCCTCTTCTTCTTCTTCATTATTCTTTCATCTTTCATATTTCTTCTTCTCGGCTCTCAACTCGCATGGAAGCTCGCTTGTTCATGTCTCTCCAGTTTTTTCCTGTTTCGTTTCGGAAAGAAGGCCGACTACGGCTGCGCACCGCCATCTTCATCAAGAAAAAAAAAATATTTGTTACAAAAACCAACGAACCGACCGACCGGACCGACTAGTTGGTCGATCGGTGCAAGTAAACATAACAGAGGAGGTCGGTTTTCGGCGTCGGGACACCCCTACTTGGAACTATCACTCGTTTCAGCTTTAGATAGTGTCTCTTGAAGTTGAAAGGTCACAGGTTCTTTTCGTAAAGGTTTTCCTTAGTTTTTATCAAGAAGGAAGGAAAAGGTAGCATGTATTTATTGTCATTGGAAGTTTCAAAAAGAAAAGGCAGCTGGGATTAATTTTATCCCTTCGAAAACTTCATGGTTTAATGGCTCTTCAGGTTTCCAAAGGTTGTTTAATGACAGCAGCGAGTTTATACATTAAAGCTGGCTTTTTCTTCAAGAATTCATTTATTGGCCTGATTTTTTCTTTTCAGAATATTTCGAGAAGATTTCCTGCACTTTATATTTCTTTTTTAAGCAGTGGCTTTGTTGGTATAGATAATTTAAAGAATTTTTAGTGGAGTTTGAGATTGCTTTTGGGAAGTCGTCTTCTTCGGAAGAGGTTATGAAGTTTTTCTCTTTTTTTGATAATTGGGAGTCGGAGCTTTGCTCCCCTATACCCAGGGTTACCAGCCCCAAGGCCTAGACCCAGGAGACATTAAGAGTTTTTGGTATTAAGCTCACTAGAAAGTTCGAATTTGAGACCTCTAACTATAAGCCAATATGATCGAGAGATCTCAAGCCTTTGCCAATTGGGCTGCTTCTTGGGGGCTTATTTATGAAGTTCTTCTTCGGTCCAAGCTTCATTGTTGCTGTCCTTGAGTTCTTCACTGGTGGCTCTTGGTTTGATTGTTCTTTATCTTCCAACATGTTTGCATTTCTCCTAGTTGAGCTTGTTTTTCTTTTGTTTTGCTTCTTTTTTTATTTTTTTAATTTCACCCTTTGGAGGTTTGTATCTTGAATATTTTTCTTTTTATATATCAATAAAAATTCGTTTCTTGTTAAAAAAAAGAACATGATCTACTACTTTAACTAACTCATTCTCTCTGTTTCCTTCTCTGGCATAGCCTCTAATTCTTTGTGCTTTTGCAGAAACCAGGTGGAATTATTGCTCTCCTTGATGAAGCTTGGTATGCTTATTCTCTCTGTAAACTATGAACATTGTTTTCCCTTGGCCATAAGACAAGTTGCATACTTTATTAACATGTAGCTGCTCTTAACGAATTCTTAATTTTTGATATTTTAGAAACTCATCTGGTCAACATAAGTTAAGCAAAATTGTAGTTGTAATTTTCATGTGTTAAGATATGTATAGAAGATTAAATTTATCCTAAACCCATTTACTTAAGTTTTTGGATTAATTAGCAATTTAACATGTGTTAAAGATACGAATAAAAGATTAAATTTACCCTAACCTCTCAGATATTATGTTGAATTACCAATTAACCCAAAAGTTTAAGCTGATGGACCAATTCAAAAATGCTCACTAACCTTTAAAATCTACAACTCCCTCTGTTTATAATCACCCCACTCTAACAAACTTCTAAGTAATCACAATTATGCCACTACTTTTTTTTTTAAGAAGAAACAAATTTTTTATTGACGAGTGAAAAGGAACAAAAATTGTTGAAAGATACAAACTCCCGAATTAGTGAAAAGGAAAATATAAGAGCGAAGCTTCAAATAAAGTACAAGCAATCTTAATAGACTATAAAGCCTTCGATTTCTTTCGAACAATAAGTCATATAACAGTGCTTTGGCTCTATTAGTCCATAAAAGACTTGGGAGTGGCTGAAAGCTCTGGATCAGACAAGTAAAATACAATCTTTGAAACTTCAAAATCGAACACCTTTGACATGTTGAATAAATGAAATAGAGACCTCCAGCAAGATAATGCATAAGGGCAATGAAAAAAAATATGCTCTTGACTTCCTCCATGATTAGGACAAAGAACACAAAGTTAGGGATGAAGGGCCATACTTGGCAGTTTTTTTCTGAAGCACTTCAACTGTATTGACCTTGCCATTGAGGAGAATCCAAGATAGCACATTAACCTTCTTAGGACTTCTTGACTTCCACAAGAGAGTACAATAGCCTTTTGTAAGAAAAACGACGAAGCCTGTGGTTTGCATAGAGAATTTACCAAGAATAAACCAGAAGAGTTTAGCACCCAGCTCCTTTGATTATCTTCACCCTTTAGAAACATTGAAGCAGAATAATAAACTTGAAAACTCCTCAATTTCATTATTCCTTAAGCGGCTTTCTTGTGTCCACCTTCCAAGATGAAGTAGCTGAATCCCAAAGTTCAAAAATAGAAGCTGAAGGGAAGGCAAAAATCCTGTAGGGACAAGGAAATCTGACCTTTAAGACAAAGTCTCCCAACCTTAAATGGTGCCAGAAAAGAATATGAATGCCCACCCTGTATGGTCAAGACGTCTGTGCAAAAAAAAAAAAATGTGGTCCATGTCTTCTTTTTAACAATAAATGAACTTTTCATTGATATAATGAAAAGGAGCAAAAAATTGTTCAAAAATACAAACTTCCAGAGTGAAAAAGTAAACGAACAATAAAATAGAAACAAAAATTAAGGGGGAGTTATAAAAGCCTCCCAATTTGAACTGATCATACTTAAAGAATAATCACGGAATAAATTAGATAGGTTACACTGCTGAGAAACCTTAAACTTAGCTAGATTGAAGACATAAGCCGAAGCTCTTCTTTTCCCCTCAAAAGATCCTTTGATTCCTTTCAAACCAAATTTCGGCAACATAGCTTTGACTCCATTACGCCAAAGAAGACCCACCTTTGGTGCAAACCTCGGACCAATTAATAAAGAGTGAACAACCTTTGAAACATCGATCTCAAAAACCCAAGAGACCTGAAAGATCTCGTAGAATAGCTTCCAGAAAGAAACCATGTATGAACAAGGGATGAATATATGTTGCTGAAACTCGCAAGAAATGCCACATAATGAGGAAATAGATGGAAAAAGACGC